CAGCCGGTGTGAGTGCCAGTAGTTGTTAGGAGGGAGTAGCCCAAACAGTTATCTTATACTTAAAGTACTAGCTGCCCATGAAAATCTTTTGTAAAGATGGTAAGTAGAAGTCTGCCATGTATTTCATAAAATCTCCCTTGTGATGCACTAAACAATAAACATAGAAAAAAAATAGGCAGTTTATTTCCTGGGCCATGTCGTTCGCCAACCAGAAGTGCCTGCTGTGTGTCAGGTGCTGGGTAGAGAACCGGGAACAGGAACTGGTCCTCATCCCTAAAGATGGGTCGCATAGCCTAGTGGAGGTCAGGCTCGTGGAGAAGCAATGAGGATGAGCATGTCAGAGCTACAGGCGGGCCGTGGGAGAGCAGGGAGGGCAGAAGAAGCGACTGTTGGCTCAGGACTGCCTCCAGTCCTTTCTGAACAATCGGGGGTGGGGCGGGGGTGGACACAGAACACAGTGCACACTTTACCTGCAGGAATCGGTATCAGCCTTTAGAGATGGTGTTGAGGTGAATGTGGCCAGATGTGAAACACCTACACACATGTTCCAGAAAGAGGGAACAAGAGCTGGAGCAGTAAGCAGGCCTGGCAGGGGAAGGGTGAGCAGTGAGCAGGTCGGCGTGGCTCTGCTTAGGGTGTGGGAGGGGAGCAGCAAGCAAAAGGCTGGGGGGGAGGGGTGGCGAACCAGGTGACCAGAGACCTATCAGACCCTGGGGTGGCCAGCGAGCTGACTTTGTTGGTCGTCTTCAGTATTACTTTACTAATAAGGAAACCGAGACTCAGAAAACTTGACAAGCTTGCCCAACTTGTACAGGAAGTGGTGGGCCCAGGGTCAGACCCCAGGTCGTCTGGCCTCAGAGCCTTTGCTCTCTTCCCTGCATTGTGCCGATGACGTGTGGACTTCCCTGTTGGTTAATGGGCCTTAGACATTTTTTTTAGATGGGTCTGGACTTCACTCTATTGGTTAATGGCTTCTTAAAGATAATTAGCTTTTTTGCAAATAAAATCTTAATGCCAAACTCCAATATATAAAAACAGACCTGGTTGTATTGATTAACATAAATTTCTTCCACATTTAAATGTATGGCACTTAGGAGGTCAACCAATAAAAACAGTGGCTTTCTTTTTAATAAGCGCTTTCATTTTGAAGTAATTTTAGATTTATGAAGAAGTTGCAATAACAGTACAGAGAGGTCCCACACCCAGTTCCCTCATTGTAAACATTTTAATATGAGGCTGCATTTGCTGTAACTAAGAAGCAGACATCAGAACATTACTATTAACTAAAGTCCATACTATATACTGTCTTCTTTCTGTCCAGGGTGCAGTCCAGGGCACCACATTGCATTCAGTTGCAGTGACTTCCTTTTGACAAACACTAACACATGAAGTCAGGAGGTGTGTTACCTTCTCAGATGCTCAGCTTGATGGTTCACAATCAGACACTGCCTTGCACACGTAGAAGAAATCCTGACTATCTGTAAACAAGGTGTTAAGCCTTGGACTACAGGCTTGCAGGGTGAGTAGCCTGCTACCAAAGTACAGTTTTTATACATAATTTTCTGATAATGCAGCTCAGATAAGAACCCACAAACACCCCTCCCCCCAAACTTGAGCTGGCCTGTCTCACTCAGCTCGGGCTGTAAGGCACTATCCTATGGACCGGGCTCCAACAGTGCACATGTACGGTTTCACAGTTCTGGAGGCTGTGCGTCCCAGATGAAGGTGCCAGCCAAGCTGGTTCCTACTAAGGATGCTTTCTGGCCTGCAAAGAGCTCTGTCCTCACTTGGCCTTTCGTGTGTGTGTGTGTGTGCTGGGCAGGGAGGAAGTTATCTCTATCGAATCAGGGCCCTCCCCCGCTTATGACCTCATTTAACCTTGGTTACCTCCTGAAGACCCTCAAATACAGTCAAATTGAGGGTCACTGCTTCAGTCCAAGGGCTGAAATTATGTAAAACCTTTACAATTCAATCCTGACACAATATAGCACTGAAACTTGCTCCATTTGTTCAGTATGTTTATGCAGGTAAAAATGTATTATTATGTATAATACTTGATACATGCAAGGAAATGTTAAGTATTTAGACCACATTTTAAGAATATGTTAGAGAAAATATAGTATTATCTGGACACATGGTGAAAAAGCAATGATGAGGAAAAAATGTCAAAAGTGGTTATCTTACAAAAGCTGTTACCAGACATTTTCACTTGGGCATTAGATTTTACATAGGCATTAAAAAGATATGGCATCCTTTAGAATAATGCCAAGTAATGCCGTATAGTTAGTTCTTAATTATTTGTTACTGGTGTATTCTGTGAGTTCTAGAATTCACTTTTCCATACCAAAGGTTATATACTGTACTGAAATGGTTCAAGTCCAAACACTCCACACAGAATAATGAATCGCTGATACTAAGGCTTAACTGACTAACTCTGTTCAGCCAGGGCAGAGTTGCCCCTCTCCCCGTCACTCCTCAGCTCCTTGTACAGGGTGGCGTGTTACCTGCGCTTCACTGCAAATCAGGTCGCTCTGCGGTGTGCTGAGTAAACGGCTCTTGATGCTGTAGGTTTTAGTTTGGGGGCAGTGAGTGGTGATGCCATTGATCCAGAAAACTGGGAGGAGGAGTGTATTCAAAGGAAGGAGGGGGAGTTTGAAGCATCTTCAGGAGATCCAGGTACAGAAACTTATTTTATCTCTGGAATTTTAGAAAAAACACGTAACATTCTGGGATGGCTGTAAGTCAGCATTTGAAAGTAACTTGAAGAGATTTTTTTAAATTAAAGAGTGTGTACCACTGGATCAGTTCATTATAGGATAGAAAGATCAGTAAAGGGAAGAAATAATTTATGCTTAAAGCCTGCAAAATGAATGGCTAGTTGACCGCAGTGTTCACCTGGAGAACCTGGACTTACGAACCTTGCAGGGATACGTAATTGGAATGTATGTAAATGTTCCAACACATGATTTGGTCAGTTGTGTTGTTTTCAATTTCTAAAGCACTGATTCAGCAATTTTACTCCTGTCATGAGTTTATACTCAGCTCTTAGATATTTTTCCCCAGCTTTATTAAAGAATCATTGACAAATATAATTGTATGTATTTAAAATGCACAATGTGATGATTTCATATACATATGCATTGTGAAATGATTGCCAAGATCAAGATAGTTGACACATCTATCACCTCATGTAATTAATTCCTTGTGTGTAGTAAGGTATGTTCTCAGCAGATTTCAGGTGTGCGTTATCTTAACTGTAGTCACCATGCTGCACCTTAGATCCTCAGAATGTATTCATATCTGAGAGCTGAAAGCGTGTGCCCTTTGACCTGCATCTCTCTATTCCTGTCTCCCCATCCCGCCACCAGCCCCCGGCAGCAACCACCATTCTACTCCCTGTTTGTTTTTGTGGAATAGGCTTTTGGGTTTTTTGGTTTTTTTTTTTTTCAGATTTAACATGTGTGATGCCATATAGTACACTTGTTTCTCTGTCTGGCTTATTTCACTTAGCATAATGCCCTCCAGGTTCATCTGTGTTGTCACAAATGGCAGTATTTCCTTCTTTTTGTGGCTGAATAGTATTCCTTTGTGTGTGTATGTGTGTGTGTCTCACATTCTTTAGCCATTCATCTGAGATACACACACACACACACACACACATATGTATATTGCATTTTCTAATCCATTCATCAGCGGACACTGCCATTGTCCCTATGTTTGGCTACTGTGAATAACACTGTAATGAGCATGGGGAATCCGTTCAAGATACTGACTCTTCTTCCTTCGGAGATACACCTACAAGTGGGATTACTGGATCACATAGTAATTCTATTTTTAATATTTTAAGGAAGCTCCATACTGTTTTCCATAGTGGCTGTACCAATTTATATTTCCACCAACAGTATACAAGGGCTTCTTTCCTTCTACATCTTTGCCAGTATTAGTTATCTCTTGCCTTTTTGATAATAGCCATTATAACAGATGTAAGGTGATATAGAAATAAAGAAAGCAATCCCACTTACAAAAGCATTAAAAACAATGAAATGCTTAAGAATAAATTTAACTAAGGAGGAAAAGAGCTGTACACTGAAAAGTATAAGCCACTGATGAAAGAAATTGACAGAGACACAAATAAGTGGAAAGATGGCCCATTCTTGGGTTGGAAGAATTAATATTGTGAAATTGTTCATACAATCCAAAGTGATCTATAAATTTGGTGTAATCCTTATCAGAATTCCAGTCAAATTTTTCACAAAAATAAAGATAAACTGCCCTAAAAATTATTTGGAACCACAAAAGACCCTGAATAGCCAAAGCAATCTTGAGGAAGAAGAACAAAGCTAGAGGCATCACATTTCTGATTTTAAAACATTTTAAAAAGCTGTAATAATCAAAATGGTATGGTACTAGCATAAATGAACATATAGACAAATGGAACAGAATAGACTGCACAGATATAAACCCATATATTTATCTATATTCAACTAATCTTTGACAAGGGTGCCAAGAACATACAATGGGGAAAAGATAGTTTCTTTCAATAAAAGTTGGGGAAACTGGACAGACTCATGCAACAAAAATGAAGGTAGACCCCTGCCTTAAACCATGCATAAAAATTAGCTCAAAGTGAATTAATGACTTAAATTTAAGACCTTGGGTTTTTAAGTATATAGTTCAGCTGGAATAGTTCTATCCTCAAGTATAATTCATTGCTGAGTCTAGAGCTTCAATTTTAGTATTATAGTAAATGTAGTTGTTTTTCATTGCTCTAATGTATTTTTTCCCTGTTACCAATTCTTCATACCTTTCAGTTCACATTCCCAGTTGATTATAGAGGCTCAGGGAAAAGCGTGAGTCTTTGGGGAAAAGAGCTTCCTCCATCTTCAGCTCTCTAGATGCTCCAGCTGCTCGCCAAACTCTGCTGTCTGGGATGCTGCGAAGCCTGTGTAAAGTCCTGCAGGTTGCAGAATGGTGCTCATGGGCCTGCTCTCTGTTTGCAGGTAGTGCCCATGCTTCCCAGAATGCTGTGTGAGGAGCTGTGCAGCCTCAACCCTATGACCGACAAACTGACCTTCTCCGTGATCTGGACACTGACTTCGGAGGGCAAGGTAACAACTTACAGTTGCATCCATTCCATTCAGTGAGTCCCTGTGGAGCCCCACCGTGTGCCTGGCACTGGGCTGAATCCCATGGTGGTACATGAGGGCAGGACTGGGGCAGCTGCCATACAGATGGACACGTGAGAGCTTCTGCCTCTGAAAAGTGGTTAGTCCACTTACAAGGCAAGACTGACACTAAGCTTACAGAAATGAGTCACTTGTTTCTTGCCTACTAGGGGGAGGGAGCTACTGTGTGAGCAAAGTCACGTGGGGAGGCTTAGTGTGGCAGAGAGGGTGTGTAAGTGAAGGTGCACGTGGGTTGGCAGTGGCATGAGGAGCAGCCTGAGCTGCAGGGAGGACAGCATGTGCTGCCTGCAGGAGGGCATTGTGGGGAAGGGTAGCAAGTGCGGGGGGCAGGGAGGTGGGGTCAAATAGGGGGAGCTGCACACCACTGGCAATCACAAGTGGATTGTATATGTTGGGGTTCCTCTGAAGTGTCATGAGAAAGGGGACATTTAGAAAGATGAGTGCTGCATCATTGTGCAGGTGATCTGGTTGGTGGTTTAAAGATGAATGAATTAGGTCTGCACAAGGCAGTGCCACGATCGAGGCCAAGGTGATGAACAGAGCAGTGAGGAACGTCAGCAAGCAGTCCCTAAAGAGAGGGAATGAGTGGGACACATGAGGACAAGCTAGTTCCTTCCCCCAAACAAACAACTCTGAACACTCAAAACCAAGGTAGTGACTGAGTGAGCTTCGGCTCTGACTCAGTGGAGTGTCCAGCACTTACTAAAGCAGTTACAAAGACCATGTAAGACCATGGGAAATGTTTACACTGTAAAATTAAGTGAAAGTAAAAAAAAAAAGATATTTAATTGTAAAGAGGTTCCAAATAAAGATGGAGGATCAAATACCCAAGTTTGCTTTCATTCCCTCCCAAAACCTCACTAAAACAACAGTGAAGAGATTTTTTTTTAAGACATAAACCCGCAAGGACAAAGAGAATGGGAGAGGAGACAACGGCAACAACATTTTGGAAGCTGGGCAGCAGATGGATGAGTGGTAACTGACTTAGCAGTCCTGAGAAAGCCGGCCCCCGTGCCAGCGCACAGAAAGCCAAGAGGCAGCCCAGTTCCCACAGCAGAGCCCTGAGGAAACCCAGAGACTGACAGCACCAGTAACTCCGTGAAGCGGGAGGGAGTCAGGTAAAGAGAGGCTAAGTCTGCTGGTTGAAAGTTGGTTTAAAAGATTGTCCCTCCCATAATTTAGAAGAAGGCCAGAAATTTATTTTCTGGACAGAAGACAGTAAAGGGTGTTTGAAGTAGAGGGACACCAAACGCACTTATTGGTGGCAGTTTCTCAGTGGAGGTTCAGTGAACATTGGTGCACTGAGTGTTAAGAGCCCCAGCTCTCTTTTCCCAGCCAACCCCAGAATTCTGGTAGCCAAGCCTGTACCCTGAGTCAGGAGATGGGACAAATTCTCTGAGGAATCTGAGTAGTGAAGCAGGTTTAACGATAGTAACCTCAGGGTTTCTGAACTAACAGCCCAGCTGTACCTCCCCACAGTAAAGCTTATAGCTGTCAGCTTCACTCACACACAGAGCTTTCTAGGATTTCACTAAAAAGCAGTCTTTTAGTATTTCACTCTCACCTATGAAGAGACAACCAAGAGGAAAGCCTCCAGCATGGTGTAGGAAAACCAAACAAAAAAGTAACTAGAACAAAACAGACTGTACAGGGAAGCGAAGCTATTGTTCATGGCCTCAGAGAATTGTTTTTAAGAGAAACTATCTATCTCACAAGATCTAAATACTTTAAAAAAGAAACATTCAATGAGAGAAAAAGAGCCCTTGGAAATTAAAAACAGGATAGAAGGAGTGAAGAAAATTCAAACTTCTGGTGGAGACAGATGAAGTAGAAGAATTATCCCAGAATGAGAAGAAGAAAATTGTAGGACCAATCCACAATGCCCAACATCTGTTTGATAAATATTCCGTAAATGGATAATCCCCCCCCCAAAAAACCAACAACAGAGGGGAAAGAAATAATTCAAGGAAATGCCCCCCCACTTGAGGGTTGACTTTCTAGACTGAAAGAGCCCACTGCCCAGAACACTGATGGAGACGCATCATTCCCAACCACATGGTCATAAAATTTCAGAGCACTAAGGACATGGAAAAGGCCCCATAGGCTTCTAAGGGTTAAAGAAAAAGTCACATGCAGTAAGTAGATTAGAACTCAAACTAACTTAATACCTTTTCTATCATAACTGTAGGAGCCAGATGACAATGAGGCAAAACTTTCTAATTCTGAAAGACTGTGATTTCTGTGCTAAAATTCAGTACCCAGCTGAACTATCAATAAAACATGAGAGTAGAAAAGGACATTTTCAGACATGCAAGATCTCAAGAAAATGTACCTTTCATACCCTCTTTCTCAAGAAGCTGCCAGAAGACGTGCTTTACCAGGATTAAGGAGTAAATGAAGAAGGAGGAAGACCTGGGCTTCGGGAAACAAACCAACCCAGGGATGAAGTGAAAAAAACCAGCTGAGTCACAAGTCAGCAAGCTTTTCTCATCGAGGATCAAATAGTAAATATTTTTAGCTTTATGTTTATTTGGTATCTGTCGCAGCTACTCCACTCTGCTGTTGTAGCAGTAAAGAAGACAGTACCTAGATGAGCAAGCGTGGCTCTGTCCCAGTAAAATCTTACTTAATGACCAGGTGGCAGGCTGGAGTTGGCCCACAGGCCAAAATGTGCGGGCACCTACCTAGTGATGGTGAAGAAAGTTGCTGTGTACCACTCAGCACGGCACAGAAGACGCCAGTGCAGAGTGGAGCCGGGCAGAGGGCTCCAGGAGAGACGTCTCCGGGAGAACGAAATCGTTAAAACAGCTGCGTGCCTGAATCTCTTGGGAGAAGAGTTAGACCTGCAGTCATCAGGCTTTTTGGTCTCGGGACCTGCTGCACTAAAAAAATGATTGAGACCCTCAGAGAACTTTATGTGGATTGCCCCTGCTACCCTGTTGGAAATCAGAACTGATTAGAGTGTAAACATTTACTTATTTTTTCTTAGATTTTATTTATTTATGTTTAGAGAGGGGGGAAGGAAGGAGAAAGAGAGCGAGGGAAGTATCAATGTGTGGTTGCCTCTCACGAGCTCCCTACTAAGGACGTGGCCCGCAGCCCAGGCATGTGTCCTGACTGGGAATCGAACCGGCGACCTTTATTTTGCAGGCCAGCACTTAGTGCACTGAGCCACACTGGCCAGGGCTGTTTATTTATTTTAACTAAAATAATAAGCTCAATTCATTATATGTTAAGATAAATAACATTTTGTGAAAAGCAGTTCTAAAGCAAAATTAGGAGAAAAGTTGCTTTGCAGTGTTGTAACTCTCACTTGTGTCTTGGAAAAGACGTGACACGGGGCCCTCACACGTGCCTCTCCCTTCGGCCTACAGGGTGAGTGCTTCTGGTGGAAGTAGGTGAAGAACACCTGGCTTCAGACAGACAGGGAGTTGGAAAGGGAGGGGTGTTTAGTAGCTTTTTTCAAGTAATGTGGACATTCATTTATCTTTGTACTACACTGGAGTTTGACAGTAGTTTCTTAAAACTTAATTCCAATCTAGAACCGGAAACCATATCTATGCCTCAAATTCCTCTGTTGGAGCCCTAATCCTTTATGTGACTGTATTTGGAGGCAGGGCCTTTGAGTCGATAATTAAAGTTAATTAGGTCATAAGGGTGGAGCCCTGGTCTGATCGGATTAGTATCCTTATGAGAAGAAACCAGAGAGCTTACTCGCTCCCCGCCATTGGCCGTTGGGAGAAGGTGGCCACCCAGCTACAGGCCAGGAAGAGATACTTCACGAGAACCCAAATCCGCGGCCTCCTTGACTTTGGACTTCTGGCCTCCAGAAGTGAGAGAAGTAAATGTCTGTGTGAACCACCCGGCCTGTGGTGTGTTGTGGCAGCTCTAGCAGGCTGATATAGTATCAGTTGGATTTTTTTTACTGGGTTACATTAAAATCTATTGGTCTATTTTACACTCTGAATGGATCTTTCTCCATGCATGTTTTTTTTATTATGTGTTTATAAATTTAAATTGTTTAAAAATACTGGCTTGTTATGCTGATTTTTTTTAATGTGTCCACATTTCATTATATGATATCAAAAATGATGTAGGCGGGGAGCACTGGGGGGGTGGGCTGGGATGGGAGTAAAAGACAGAAAACTGTACTTGAACAACAATTAAATAAAAATTTTTAAAAAACCACATTTGTTAATATCCCTACAGATCCTTAGACAAGTCTTTAAGCATTAGGAAATGTGTGTGTTGTGTGTCAGATACAAGGTTTCCAAAATCCTAACTTTTGTGAAAGTTCACATTTTATCATTGGCCATAAGTAGTGTCCGTTGTTTTCGTTGAAGTGCCAAATAACCATGGTCTGTGTGTCGGTCATTCCCTCGGGTAAAAATGGTAGCCCGTAAAAAAGAGCAGTCAGTTCAGCATGCAACTCACAGTTAGTTACATAAATGCTTTTCCTCAAGATAGTCATCATACTTGGGCATTCAGCGTAGGTGATAAAAACAAGTTCTAGAGGGTTGAGACATAGTAAAGTTAATAACTTTTACTGCTTCATCAAAAGCATTCTTAAGTGACCTAGCTTGTCCTCCCCGAGAGTGTGAGGTGGTGATAAGTGCCCTGACCCCTGGCACCGGTCGTGGCCAGGGACTGATTCACGCCGAAGCAGCCACAGCTTCCCCCACCAGCGCTCTTGTGCCATCGGTGTGAACGCTAGCACTCGGAATGGGCCACATAATGCCTTGGTATTGCCATGAGAGCAGTTCTCACCTCACAGGTCCCTGAAACAGTCTTAGGGACCCCCAGGAGCCCACAGACCAAACTTCGAGAATCACTGTTTAAGACGGTTGGTGGAGAGTCGGGTGTCCAGAAAAACCAAGCAAATTAAAACAAGACAGTTATTAATTCGAGTGAAAACAAAAGTT